TGGCCACATGACTTACAACAAATAAACATCTACCAAGTTTTACAACTTGAACTGTGGTTAGTATGTTGGCGTTACCATTGTCTATGCCCTTCTGCAGCTCATCTCCTCCATTAGAATGAAACACAGAGCTAATAGACTTCTTCACAAGATCAGCAGCTTTGGTTTCTGGAGTTGGATGAGTACCATAAATGGCAGTTATTGCTTTATCAGCAGCAGCAAACCATATATTATCTGGAAGCCAAAAGCCAGTAATTAAGCTTTCTAGAATACCAAACACCATAATGCCATTAGTAAGTAATAGTTTCTTCTTATCTTCTTCACACAATCTCTGAATAGCAATACATGCCGTCCTAGCAAGCAGAGGTTCTACTTTAGCCCAACGGCCAAACCCAATATCAATAATATCTTGTAAGTGAGAACCAAGAATCCTACTGGATGATTTTGCAGCCATACATAGGACAGATAGAGCACCACGACTTTTCTCTGCTGTGGTTCCACTAACATTAAAGCAAAAAAAATCCCATAATGCTGATATCTGTAAAGGAAAACCCTAAATAAGGAATTTCACTGTTTATATCAAGCCAAAAGTATAACTTAATGAATTTCATAATTATTGGCTTTACCGGACAATTTTCAAACTGTAGAAATAAAAGTGGCCAAAACAAACAAGAGACGACAGATCCCATGGTCCACAGTCAACTAAATGACAATCCCACTGTCTGCCAATTGTTTTTTACAGTTCCCTCATTGTCTATCACTGAATTCGATTATTAGCAACATTTACATACTTCTTTATAATATTTTGAGCATGTCTATTGAGTTTGAAACAACCAGTTTTCTACTATAACCCAAGAAAAAACATATAGCTCAACCTATCAAGAATTATGGATGAACTATTAAATTTTTCACACAAACATCAAGTGATCACCAGATTCACCACCATTAACAAAATAGAATCAGAAACATCAAAAGTTACATTTATAATCCAATTCACATCCTGATATGTCTATGAACCATAAACAAAATCCAATGGCCATCATATTCACTGCTATAATGTTTTAAGTATCTATTTTATCTACTAACAGCAACTATATAGGTATATAAGTTTTAGTCAGCATCCTGAGTTCACACATCAAATGAATAATGATATCAATCAAAACTCACAAGTTAATCTAGAAAAATAAAGGGAACATACCGTGCTTGTAGATATATCTCCTTTGGACACCAAAGCACCAATAATAAACTCCATGGCTGCTTGATCTCCTATATTTGAATCTATCACAAGATTCAAAAGATTTTTAGCAGTGTCTACTGGGTTTTTCCTTATATAGATAGTAATGAAGGCATTCTCCACAGCTTCATAGATAGATTTATCTTGAGAAAATACCTAAAAAAGCCAGTTCATATTATTAATGTCAGCTGCTTGTATAGAGTAGATACAAGTTCGCGATAAGCTCAAATAAAGAAAGCATCATCTTATATCGAGAACAAATTAAAAAAATTTATACTTCACAATGTTGTAGGGATTCTAGAAGAAATGGCTTACTAGTGGCAACATCTTATGGAGGCAAGCTTCTGCACCATCAATTTGGAACTGTTTGCACCTCATCAGCAAAAGAATCGTGTTCTCAACATCACTTGAAGAAGATGAAGCCATCAATTGAACAAGAGTTGGCATCGTGGCAGATACACACTTTGAAAATCTCAAGCCAGCCTCAAGTGAAGCAACCAACGCCCTGGTTTGCTCCAAGTTCCCAACATCTGGCACAGAAGTATTCTTCTCAGCAATCCCTTCTTCACTATGAGGCACACAACTATCAGCCAAACTCTCTTGCTGCTCTTTGACCACCTCCTCAGCATTTACATCATCAATTTCACCATTTCCATCGCAAGTATCATTATCAGGTGGTAAAACATCTTCAAAACCTTCTGAAGGAACATTGGACTCTAACTCACTTAGCTTCTTCTTGTACTGCTCTAAGGTTGCTTCAAATGAAACTATTCGAAGTTGTGGACCAAAAGGATTATGCTGCAACATCATGATGAGCAAATTTAATGCAGATTTTCTAACAATCGCACTCTTATCCTCCAACCTCCCAGCAGCAACTTCGGCAACCTCATTCCACAAACCAATTGAAACAGAATGCTCTTCACATAATTCAGCCCAAACCTGTAGAACCCGACTCCTAGTGTAAGCTGAAACATCTCGGCACCTTTCAAGTAAAATCTCCATCATGGCTTGCTTGGTTCTAAGACGGACAGATTTAGAACTCACTTCTCCATCAACATCCTTAAATGCCTTGGCAACCAACCTTCCCAGAACCCCAACAAGAGCATTCCTTATCTTATAAGACTCCCCACCAAAATGTAGTACTAGAAGTCCAATGTTGGTTGAAATCAACTTTGGCAGCCGATCAGCGAGCTCCACCAGAAAACGTCCAATATTTTCTGCCCCTACAGTATCCTTAACATAGGCTTTAGGGTTAGTTCTTCCAATCTCTCTGATGAGATAACTTGCCAAAGTTCCATCAGCATACTTCTTTTCAGCCCCAACAACAGCATCCACCATGTGGATGACAACAAAATCATATTTGTGAATTAGGTGCAAGATTGAAGCACAAGATTGAGCAGTGTAGTGGTATTTTGTAGCACAAGCCCCAATTATACGACACAAAGCATCTTTTGTGTCTGTATCTCTCAAAAGCGCTGCGTTCTCAAACAGAGAAAAAGTATTTCTACAAAAATCCAAATAACAAAGTTAAAAGTTTGAATTAACCCAGAGACGGGAAAAAAAAAAAAAGCCTGAATACATCACACCAATTATCTGACATACTTTACCACAAAAGATAAATAGTTTTCATCTGGGTCTGACGAACCAAAAAGCAACGCAAGGTTGATATCTAGCGAATTGGCAATCGAATTAAGCATTCTACCCCTCTGTGACTCCCAATTCCATGAGTTTACCATTTGTTTCTTCCTTGCAGTAGTTGTAACCTGAACCAATAACCCAAAAGCTTCAATTTCAGTAAAGAGAAAGAGTGTCAAAAACCCTGGTAAAGAAATTAGCAATTATAAGTACCTTCGAATTGTTGTTGGAAGAAACATTCGACTCTTCCGTCAAAATGATACTAAATAGGAAGAAAGTGTATATTTTAAAAGCATTACGATGTGAAGTAAGGCGTTCTAGCACTGGTGATTCATCATCCTCACCCAGAGAGACACGAGATAGTGAATCTATATTTGGGAGGAGGACACTGAGATTGGACCGAAGACTCTCCACAAGATTGGTTTTAGAAGACTGGCTGAGACTAATAAAACCCCCAACCAAAGAATAAACCCGATCAAACACATTTTGCTCCTCAATACAGAAGAGCTCTTTATCAGATAGATCAAATGATACACCTGCTAAATGATTTAAATTGTAAGATTTTGAATAATAAGTGGATTAACAAGTAATTCTACAATTTCTTTCTAGGGTTTTCGAAATTGAGAGGGGAGAGAAGTGACCTTTGACGAATTCTTCGAGTTCAGAAGGGCGCATCGAGGAGATGTCGAAAGGGTTCTGAACGGAGAGACGATTGTCATCTTGTTCTTCTTCGGCTTCTAGGACTCGGAAGTTTTGTGGAAAAACGAAGTGCCGAGGCAAAGCCATTTTCTTTGTGAGAAAAAAAACTTCGAGGTGTGGTTTCTGTTTACACACTTTACCCTTCTGGTACAAATTCAAATTTTCAAATTTTCAGAACAAGCGGGATGGACGAATTTAGGAACTTAATTAATTAGTTGAATGCACCTCAATTATTAAAAAAAAGTGACAAATCAAATTGAACACATAAAAATTTAATTAAAAAAAAACATTATACATCAACTAAAATAAAAAACATAATAATGATTATTTAGGTTTTTTTTTATTTTTTGAGTCTAATATATATATATATATATATAAAAGTAATACAACACTTTTCATACAACATAACGTACTAAAAGATAATTAGTAAAAATTTATTTTTAATTTAAAATCAATCAATCTTCTTTTGTTACATCATGTTGTATGAAAAATATTATATATGTAATATTATGCTATATATAATGGATGAATTGGTCACTTTCGAAGTCCTCTATGTGTATACTATATTTACACTTAACTCAAACCTCTTGGAGAATTTTTAATCTCCTAGTGTGAAGCCTTCTCGGGTTCAAAAGCCCAAAAATAAAATCATGCTCCCTTGCCTAGTTCTACAAATATTTGGTTGGTATCTCACTTCATTAGAGATCCCCGTTTGGTACAAATGCTCCACTAGAGGTTCATGGAAGCATGGCTCATGATAACTTTTATACAAAATAATAATAATAATAATAATTGTTAATTATTTAATTAGAAAAATTTTGAAAAGCTTTATAGTCTAAAATTATAAAAAGAAAATAAATAAATAAAAGGCAAATATACAAGAAAAATATAAAGTTGAATTAAAAAAAAAAAAAAGTATGGGATATTTTTAAATTTCAATAGTAGTTTAAAATGCTCAAAAAGAGCTTATGAACTTATTTATAATTTGAGCTTCTTTTAGTTGACATAAAATAGTTTATTTAAAAATATTGATAACTTTTTTGGAGCAGTAGACAGTAACAAAACTAGGGAAATTACATTTAGGGAGCCAAAGTATAATAGTATATATATATATAGTATAGGTAAAATTCAAAACTTTTCTTGGACCTATGTGGTCGTCCACCCAGGCCTGGCAAATTTGTCTGACAATAAAAAGCCCAATCAGAGTTTCCAAACCAATTTCCCAGAAAAAAACAGAGGCTTGTCAACTAGGGGAAGAGCTTTGTTTAAGAGAGACTTTAGAGAGATTCCTTTTTACAGATTGTATAAATTTGACCATCTTAATTTAAGTTAAAACTTGAAGATGTCGTCCCTTTGGAAAATGGGATTTTCCGTTTAAGGTGTCTGTGACAAAACTGCAATATTCTTCTTCCATACTGTAAAATGGCAGAAAAAGTTTGATCAGAAAATCAATCATAGTCATCATCATCATCTACGACTACTGCCAACAATGTCCTCGTGCTTGACCCACATTTCCAACTACAAATTATGATATAATCTTCACCATTGACAAAAACAACTCACTCTATTTTGTTAAATACATTTTTGTTTCCAGTTTTAATAATTAAAACAAAATTGGAACGAAATTAATACCTGTGGTAACTGACTGACCGACTATGCGTTAAACAAATCTATCTCTAAATTTCTGTTCGCCCTGTATTTAACCACCATTATAAATCTAACAAAGAAAATTGATGATCTGGATCACACTATCCACATTTCAAAAAAAAATAAAAATATATATACTTTTGCAGAAACTGTTAGACTACAGTGGCGATGTCATTGTATCTGGGTCTAGTTGTTCTGTCGGTTGAAAGCTCCTCTTCCATGGCCGCCTTTCTCTTATTGTTGTCGGGTTGCTGTGGTTGTCGCTGCTGTTGTTCTTGTTGTGTTGGTGATTCAAACTCTGATTTTTCTTCTTCTTCTTCTTCTTCTTGTTTTGCTTCTCCTTGTACTTGTTGTTTTTGGTGTTTAATCTTGGTTTTCAATATATGAGGTCTAAGCTTATTCAAATCTGATAGTTGGACTGGCTTCAAAAAGAATTCTTCTGCTCCCTCTTCTAGGCATCTGCTGATTCTTGAAGGAACATTCTCAGATGACATTATAACTACTGGAATATTTCTTAGCAATGAGGATTCCTACAAATATTACAAAAAAAATCCAAATAAATTTCCCAGATCTGTTTATTTCAATTCAAATGAAATATTTCATTCACATTCTCAACCAAATGACTCCTTTTTAGGCAAGTGTACCTTGATCTTCTTGAGCAAATCATAGCCTGTCATCCCAGGCATACAATAGTCTGTAATTACAAGATTCACTTCCACTTCCTGTTAACCAATTGAAAATTTAAATATGAGTAAGATTTAAAGGAAAAGTTAGAGGGAATCTCAGAAATTGATAAAAGAAAAGAATTGAAGAAAACCTGATGATTGTTTGGGTTAGTCGTTAGAAATTCCAGAGCCTTACTCCCAGAATCAACAGTAGTAACTACAGTGAAATCAAAGAGTCAGGACCAAATAAAACTCAACAAAACGGAAAAATAAAGAAGGAATAAACATCATCTGCACCTTGATATGAAGAGGTCTTGAGTAGCCTCTCAATAAGCTTCCTATCTATAATACTATCATCAACAGCTAAAACATGAAACTCAGAGTCTGCAGCTGCAACTCCCATTGGAAAAATTCCAGAAGCAGAAGGCAGAATGGAAGAAGGGTTATTTAGTTAGTGAGTTTAAGGTATGTATTGAAATAATAATAATAAGAATATAAGATCTCCAAAAGAGGTTGAGATTGAATTAGAGGGGAAAAAAGAAAGAAAGAAATGTAAATGGGGATTTAAAAAAAGAAAGGGGCACCCAACAAAATCCTCACAAGAGATACAGGTGATGTAAGCAAAGGTGGCTTTTTTCTTAATGTGAAATCATGTGGGAGCTTACCATATCTTGAGCAGGTGGAGAGTGGTGACACTGACTCCCCAATTTTCTTTGATTTCCTTTTAAGATTTGCTTCCCATGCCCATCCCATACATACATTTGCATTTGATACATATATGTCTTCCATTTGGTAATAAAAATAGAAAGGGTATTTAAGTGGGACAATAAATCTTTTAAATTTCTTAGCATTGATTGGACGTAACCCATGTTTTCAAAGTCTTCCTTCATTCATAACTTTTTCTTAAATTTCGTCAAATTAATAAAAGACGCGTAATTGACGTTAATATTAATTGGTCAAAATATCATTTTATTTTGAGTTTGAGATGTGGGCATTGCCAACATGTACCGTAGAAAGAAGATTCGCCAACACACTTCAATGAAATGTACAACCTGTCACACATAGTCCACGCCATGCATGAACATGATCCTCTGCTTCTCATCCCCACAACCCAATCATCATCTCTCTCCACATTATTCACTTCACTTCTTCAATGGGGTCCCACCATACTCTAATTGTTAGTTCAAATACTCTACGGTACATCTGGTGAGAGATAATGTTAGAGTACTCAATAATGTCATTTAGTATTATTTCATTAACATTTTTAGTTGTCAAATAATATAAAATTTTAATAATCTTAAAAAATCAATAATAATTACTGTTGATAATATTATATGTAATCTTATTACTTTTATTTTCTTAGGTATTTTAATATTATTTGATAATCTTATTTTTGTTATAATTTTATTCCATATTAATAAAAATTTTAGACAATAATGTCCTTATTTTAAAATCAATTTACATTAATTTACTATTACAATTTTACTCTTGTTTAATTAAGTTTTTGAATAATAATACCCTTATATTTAAAACACATTGCAGACAACCACCGTCAATAATTGGCCAACCACCGCCGGCCGAGAGTCATCGGGATTCACTGAGAGTTGTTGATATGACCGTAGATCTAGCCATTTTCGGCCATATCAGCAACTCTCGGCGACTTCTAGCAACTCCAGGCAGTGAAAGGCAACAACCAACGGTGGTGGCTGATAGCCGACAGACAGTGGCTTAGGGTGGGTGGGGGTGATTTTGTTACAAATTAAAGTTTTATATAAGATGTGGTATTTTAGCTAAATTTGAAATGTTGGGGGTTAAAAAAAATTATTCAAAAATTAATAATAAAAATAATATTATATTAATATTTAAAAATGAGGGCAATTTAGTAATTTAAATAATATACCCATCAATTTATTCTTTCAAACCAAACATATTAAAACAGTATAACATATCCACTAAATTATTTCAACTAACCATACACATTTCCCTGAAGATTCTGAATAATCTTCAAAGTAATATAACTTTCTATTAATATAATATTCCCAATAATTCAACATTCCATAAACCAAACGCACCTTAAATGTCTAACTTCCCTACAATCAATGTGTTGTTAATATGTAAAGAACACATCATAAATGTAACATTATTGTATATATTGTATTATACAAAAATTTGTTCATGTACACATATAAAGTGTGTATACAAAGTGATATATTAAGCATTTATTAAAGTGAAAAAAGAAAAAAAACGGAAATTAGAAATTTGATTTGATGATGAGTGACATAAATGTGAATGTTTATACTTTATAGAGAAGATTATGAATGGTGGAAGAGTTTGTCTAACTCACAGGAACCTTTTATCAAAACTTGAAATGATCAATAGACCCTACAAATGTTTGCTTCATATCTCATCCGACAATTTCGTTTCGGGATCTTGTCCCCAACTTATCATTTCACCTGGACCATATCCATATGATTTTTTAAAGATTTTTTATTTTTATTTACTTGGTAATTCTCTAGAGCTCTGTGCATAGTTATCTATGATAAGATTTAATTTTTTTATACAAAATTGATATATTATTATTTATCATTTCCATTGTTGTTAAAATAAGCTAATATTCCTTTAATTTCTTTTTTATTTTTTTGGGAAATTTATAATCACCATGGAGGTTTTCCGAAATTAACTTTGATCCAACTATCACTACTACGGTGGACGACTAACAAGAAAGGAAACCTTGATTTTAAGGTTATTATAACTCTTCCTTAAAACATTGTGCCTATGCCTATCCATAATTTTGGAAAAAGTATTTAAAAAAAAAAAAAAAACTCCTAACGTTAAAACTACGCTTGTAAAAGTCAACTATTTATTGAAAGATTCTTAATTACCATTATGACCTTGAAAACATTATCGAATCCCAAAACCTATTTGAGTTATAATTACAAAATTGCCCTTAAAACTGATGTTGGTAATAGTAATTATTATTTTTTCCCATTTAAATGCTAATTTAATGAAGTGGTAAGTTTATTAATTTTTTTTTTTTTTACCATTTTCTGTAATTGTGATTTTGCTATTATGGTTGTTGATTGGTAATTGAAAATGAATTAGTGAAGTAGTTCAAGAAAGTTGTCATTGTAGATGCAAAAAATCTACCTTTACGGAAATAAGGTCTAATCCCGTGAGGTTGAGGCCACCAACAATCCGCTACACCTACACGCGCGAGGAAACAAGCGCGAAGCAAACGGAAAACACCGAGGTAGTGTTTGCCATAGGCACTCAGACGCTCAAGTCAGCAAGGCCAAATGAGGATAATTTAGTGAGGGTTAGGGAAAGAGAAGATTACCAGCAGTGAGAACTACTGGGTTCGAAGGTGTAATGTTTGTGTCCATGTGAGAAGGTTGGCCTCTATTTAAATAGCGACTGTAGGATCTTCGAGTCCTAATAGGACTGTGAGTCCTTGGAGGTTGAGAGGTTCAGTGAATAGGAAGGCTTTTAGTCCTCCTGCATGGTTTTTGCATTCGCCTTCATGGAGTTCGACGAGAGCATACTTGGCTTCCTTTAGGCTTATGCATTTGAGGTAGGGGCCAAAGAATGACTTCCTAAGGAGTTGGCCCTCGTATATGGTGAATCTTGCGGCTTTTGCTCTCAAGCGGCGTGTTTCATTCTTGTCGACTGGAAGCTCATCATGTTCCAAGTATTTAATTATTGGAGTCATCCAGGAGTCGGCTGGTCCGACATCCATTACTTCTTTGGGCTCTTTTGGGTTTGGTAACTTGTTCATTGGATATTCTTTCCAATTGGCTGGCCATTGGAGGAATAATAGTGGGATGGATGACTGGGAGGAGCCTTGAAGGGCTGAGCCGAGGTTGGGAAGGGCATCAGCATGGGTGTTCTCCGCTCTTAGGACTTGGGTGATTAAGAATTCTTCGAAGGCGGACTACATTTCTTTGACCAAGTTCAAGTAGGTTGTTATCTTCGAGTCCCGGGCTTGGTAAGTGCCTTGTAGCTGGTTGACTACAAGTTGAGAATCAGACTTTGTCTCCAACTTTCTTACTCTAATCTCCTTGGCCAGAGAAAGTCCAGTGATAAGGGCTTCGTATACGGCTTCGTTGTTTGTGCACTTGAACCCACACCATATGGCCCACTGGATGACATCCCCTTCTGGTGTAATAAGTACAATGTTGAGCCCGCTTCCATTCACATTACTTGAGCCATCCACTGAGAGGGTCCAACTCGAAGACGACCTGCTAATCATGCACAATAACTATTTTTCTGTCTAGACGGTAGTGTTAGGAGTCAAATCAATAATGAAGTCTACCAACGCTTGGGATTTGATGGCGGTGCATGGTTGGAAAGATATATCAAACTCACTAAGCTCTACTGTCCATTGGGTGAGCCGGCCTGATAACTCTAGCTTATGAAGTATCTTCTTGAGTGGGAAGGAGGTGAGGACAACTATGGAGTGACATTGAAAATATGGTTTGAGCTTCCTGGATGCATGGACGAGGGCGAGTGCCAATTTCTCCAGCTGGCTGTATCGTGTCTCGGTATCAAGGAGTGATTTCCTTACATAGTAAACTGGTAATTGCTTCGCATTATCTTCCCGAACTAATACTGCTAAGATGGTTGTCTCCGAGACCGCCAGGTAAGTGTAAAGCTTTTCTGCAACCACTGCCTTCGAAAGAAGTGAGGGAGAGGTTACGTACCGTTTTAGCTGCTGTAAGGCCTTCTCATGGGTGGGGGTCCACTCAAATTTCTTGGATTTCTTGAGTGTAGCGAAGAAGAGGTGACACTTGTTCGCGGATCTAGAGATGAATCGGCTCAAGGCAACTACTCGCCCCCCAAGGCGCTGGACGTCTTTGATGCAAGTTGGTGATGGTATGTTGAGGATCGTCTGAGTTTGATTAGGGTTGAATTCTATCCCATGCTGAGTCACCATGTACCCCAAGAATTTTCCTGACGAGACCCGGAACGAACACTTGGCTAGGTTTAGCTTTATATTGTATTTCCTTAGGACGGCGAATGCTTGGTTGAGGTGGTCAAGGTGCTGCTCGGCCATAGGGGACTTGACAAGCATGTCACCAATATATACTTCCATGGTGTCTCCAAGGTGTTCGGTAAACATTCTATTGATCAGTCACTGGTAGGTGGCCCCGGCGTTCTTAAGACCAAAAGGCATTACTTTGTAGCAATAGGTTCCCTTCTCGATGATGAAAGCTATCTTTTCCTGGTCATCTGGGTGCATCAAAATCTGGTTGTACCTTGAAAAGGCATCCATAAAACTTAGAAGTTCGTGACTTACTGTTATATCGACCATCATGTCGATATGTGGGAATGGGTAGGAGTCCTTGGGGCTTGCCTTGTTCAAATCTATGAATTCTATGCAGACCCTTCATTTTCCATTCTTTTTCTTCACAACCACCACGTTTGCCAACCAGTCAGGGTAATAGACTTCTCTGATCAATCCGTTACTCAGTAGTTTGTCAACTTCTTCATTGATGACCCGGTAACGT